CGATTTGACCATTTCGATTTCATGGGAATGTCGTCCGAACGCGGCCACTCTTCCTTGGATGGGTGCTTTCTCATGGAGGATTCCATAATAAGCTTGGGAATCGACCATGGGTGAAGACAGGCGGGTCTCTTAAGGGTGCAAACCGACACGCAATTCGCACAGTAGGATATACCCTATGCGACCTAGCATGGATGTTCTAGCGGCGCGGCACGTCCCCAGAATGGCTAACCACTCACCGCAAGAAGCGCTAGTTTCGCGAAGGATTACACCAATGAGAGTCGTAGCAATTCGGAATTCAGTAACCAAGGAGGAGTTCCTTCCCAAATCCTGAGCTGTTTCCCACGATGTTTCTTCGTCCCGGCGCCGCTACCGCCTCTACCATGCTAATGAGCTGCCTTATGATCGTAAACTTCATCTTTATGTGGTAAATATGCAAAAAATGAACTACATGTAAACTTTTTTGCAATGCCCGTTGTGCAGACTTATCTGGTGTGGGGGTGGGGGATGGTGGTGAAATTTTGCTCGAACACCTATACCAAAAATACAATACAAATGCAAAATTCACTAATCTTAGCTGCATAGGACAACAAGAGCATTCTTCTCTTGATTAATTTTATCAACGATCACATCACTTCGTTTCATAAGGATTTTATTGTATTTTGTACTGTTTTTATTCGAATTTTCATTGAAAATAAAAAGAAAAGCAAGACGGGCTAGACTGCTATTCATGTCCTGGAAAACGCTGACTTAGTACGACTCCCTCGACTACAGCTAAGCGTTGGTGTGGTCTATAGAGCAAATGCGAAAAATCAAAAGGAGGTCACGCATAAAAATCATCAAACAACATGGGTGCGAGGCGCACGCTCACCGTGCTCCCCTCATTGCATTGATATGCATCGCCTGATGGATAAGGTGTTACCTTTATGCGCTCAATGAGTACAGGGCTCTGTGGGGCTTCCTGTATATCAGCGTATTGTGTACCATTTTATTATGAACCATTTTGTTCTTCACCGCATCGACCTGCGCCTGCCCCTCTTGCGAAAGCGTCAAAAAGTACTCGCTTCGACTTATTGGCCCGAATACGGAATATCCAAATTGGGCTATTCCTGCTCCAATCAACTGACTAATGCAGCAACCCATTATCTGTTTAGATCTCATGGCTGGTCAAAAGCAGATGACACCTTGCTCTGATCTGTCGTTTGATGTCGCTATTCTATTCTAATGTTCATTTTCAGACTCCCGATGGTAGGAGGAGGTATACTCGTTGTGATCCTCCTTGTGATCGTCATTGGATTCCTTGTGTACAATCTGAAGAAAAAGCCAGGAGGAGCAAATCAGGAAGGATCCGGTTCGAAAGAAATGTCAAAGACAGGGGCTATACCAACGGGAAGTGGCTCTGGGACGAAAGAAGGCGGTTCGGCGGAGAAGAAGATGGGCTCAAAGGAATGAAACTTATTATATGAAATGTTCATCATACTTCCATTAAAATTCGACCATTAATTGTGCTTCCTACAGGTTTCAAATGCCCAGCCTTAGCCGTTTTGCACAATGTAATCTCTCGGGCAACCGTGTTGCAATTGCTGAGCTCCGGATTTGCGTTGGTAATGGCCACACATCTTATCAGGAAAGTGTTTCAGAGGGCTCCAAGCTTTTTCGAAACGATTTTGCATGATATAGGAGCACATGCAGAACCACAAAACTACGGTTCATTCTTTCCTAATTGACTCCCTGAATACCAAAAATGGGCGAAGAAAAATCACCTCTGAAACTGCCATTTTTACTGCTTCATTGTGATGCGTTTCGTCCACGGCGCTTACTATGCTGTGTCATATTAAAAAGTTCCAACGGGTCAAGCGAGGCGTCGAGGAAAATTTGGAAACGACCCCCCCCCTCCGCCAGAGGCCGAAGTCCATGAAACGACCCTCTTCAAAAGCCGAACTATGAAAAGGTTGTTTAATTCTCCCCCAAAACTGTTCATAAAAAAGCCCTGCTACCCCACCGTCCACAAAAAAAATTCGTTTAAGAAGTACAAAGAATGATCATTATTGATGAGTCCTACCAAACGAGCAAACGAGAAACAGGAGCAAAAAACGACAAACTAGCCACTAAAAATGGCATACTATGACAACATCTCTTCTTTATTTATTTCCTCCACAAGACTTACCAAATTCTAGTACTACACAGATTATGGTTCTCAATTTACACGTCCCCTTTCGCTTGAAGAAGCCTTGTAACCGCCTTCGCCAGCTGTGTGTTGACTGGACTTTGGCGTTGACCGTGGAGCAGCTTATTTACTATTGAAATTTGAACAAATATTCAAATGATTATAACTTTCTTCAAATATGACGAATTTTCAATCTGAAAGCAGATTTGGGAGTTTTGTGAAGAGCTTTTTCTAATCAGTATTGAAATTACAAAAATTATAAGAAATAACAAATTTAGATCAATTAACGAGGAAAATTCATGATGAGCACGAGTTTTTACACTTTCCGAAGCAATAACTTGCTTCATTTTCGTCAAATTCGAAAAGTTAATATGGCATACAAAACTAGAAGATTTTCTCTATCAAACTTGCTAAAGCAGCTTTATACGTCCAGTATTCAAAAAATGGCCACGTTGAGGATTTTTGCAAAATTAACGAGGAAAATTCGTGATGAGTGCGAGTTTTTACGCTTTCCAAAGCCATAACTCCGTTCAAACTCATCCAATCTGAAAAGTTAATACGTCATAAACTAGAAGATTTGCTCTATCAAACTAGAACTGCTCCAAACGTTCCAGTATTAAAAAATGGCCACGTTGAGGATTTTTGCCCGAGTACCGCCGAAAGGTACTTTTTCGCTACATTGGCACTATTTCAACGGCTGTATATCCTTTTAAGGGCGATTATGTACTAAAGTAAGAGCAGATTTGGAATCATTGCTTTTCTCTTTCTAAGAAAAGTGATTGATTAGCGTTTCTCAACTTTAAAGGTTACATGTTTATAATTTAACCCTTAACCCATAACGGACGGCGTGCGCCACAAGGTGGCGCACGATTATTTCTTTTGTTTTTGGAATGTTTCTAGCAATCTTAATATACCCATATATACTCTCAGCAATGTGGAATAACATATCTTCCCAGGACCTGGACGGCTGGATTTTTGACAAACCTACAATAAATTTTACATACATTTTGTCTTAATTTACATAAGTTTACTATTTGATGGGTGGCTTACCCATGGTTCGCACGTCCCGAGACCCCTTCCCCTAAATATAGCCACATCCTTGCTCGGGGTTGTTGTTTCGCATTTTTCGATAATGTCACCTACAGCTTCCATTCATTCTTTGCACCCTAGTTTTAGAGCGGAAAGGCGGGTTACGAACTTGTCGTCAACGGAAATCTCTTCTTTTGGATGATGAGACACGGACACCTACTTTAGCCCCGTCTTAACCCTGCTGTTCGCATAAGCCTACATAAACCCTACCCTGGGTGGCGGCGTGCGCCACATGGTGGCGCACGCGAAAAATACACTGGCCGTCCGTTATGGGTTAAGAGTGCGCTAATGCATGTTGAATGGTGTACACCTCCAATAAATGCACACGGACACTTTCAGAATCCTCTCGATTTTTCCTGAATTGAGATTGTTTGTCCAAGGAGCCGTAGTTGAAGCGCGCGCAACAACTGGACCCACTCTGGGATGCGCCGTGTACTTCACATCCCTTCAGATTCGAGGACTTACTTGAAAGATGAAATATCTTGGAAAGCGTGCGAAATTCAGATTCTTTAACTTGTGTGGTGATAAAACACTGAAGTAACTAAGAATTACCGGACGCCTCAGAATCACGAAAATTTTGTGTGGGTGAAATATCATTTTCATTGGAAATCCTCTGGCCTGGCATCGACTCGA